GGATTCAAGGAAAGGTCAACATCGCAGATGCGTTAACAAAGAGGAATGCTATAAGTCATAGGATGCTCAATAAGATTGCAAGTGAAGGGATACTAAGGCTGCCGGTGCACAAGTCGTTTGAGGTTGACAGCGAGAAATGGACGTAGAGTCGTTAAAGATATACACTTCAACGACTGGGGGGAGTGTGAAGAGTCGGGTACTGAAATAATAATCACATGATTTGATTGGATATGTGCGTCTGGCACACAGTGGAAACACGCGCGCATGACTCCACAGAACACATCGCATGTACGCCTATACGACGATATATAGAGTAGAAGTGACACCCAGTGAGCAGAATGCAGAAGCAGACAGTGAGAGCAGGGGACGAGCGAAAGGGTGAGAGGACAATAACGTGGGCAAAAGGAAGGAATTCTCAATCGGATGCACGGGAAGACGAACAGACGGATGGGTAAAGAACCAAGGGAAGAAGCCGATTCGTGCGACATGGAAAGAGATGGCAAGTGCATGCCGCTGCACCGAAAGGATGAGTGTAACGGAATGGGGGCTGGACCCACGAAGAAGGAAGTGGTATCACCACTGACAGAGGCGAATTCGGAGGATGAATCGAAGGATCAATGCGTACGTATGATGTACATAGCATGGACGAATGCAAGGAAAAGGCAGCTGAAAGACCCGCAAAAAGGGAAACGAGCGAGGAGGAAACGATGGATCCCGTAGCTAGAAGGGTACGGCATGAGTACTTATAGACGGGAGGTAGCTGAGTTAGCAAAGAAAAAGAGGGAGCATCGATCGACGCCAGCACATGCTGATTACATTTGCCGAACCCGTATCCACAGTGTAGTCCGAAGGAATCAACCAATCAGCGATATCGTCATGAACAACGATTTTCTCACAACAGTACAGTACCGAATTGGAAATGATTCGATTTCAGGACTTTACGGTTTGACCGTAACAAACGCCCACTGGCCCCGGCTACTTGCTGCATGCATTACTGTAAGTATTATATCATATGATTTTTAGGTATTTTTTGTGTCTTTTCACTGTCACCTATTGGCCAGGGATACCGTTTGATTATTACACTAGGGTTACACGGCAAACCGAGTCAGGGGTTCGATGTCGGCGGGGCTCCATAAAAGCCGTATCGACACACCCGACGAGATAGCGACACACACACACAGCTCTCAGTCCCCTGTCGCCCCCGCACGGAACGCTGAAGGCCCGTAGCGCGACGCACGGACAAATGCACACACACACACACACACACTTTCCCACATAAATCAATAAACCCCATCTACGACGGCCCATCCCGGGACCACACTAAAACTCGTTTCACATAGTACTTCGGTCGAGGGACCCCGCCCGCCGTGGGCAGGTCTTTGTTTCGTTCTCAGGGACTTCTGACGATTCCTTGGATGTCAGGAAGTTCTTCTTCTATTTTGACAACGTTTTGATGAAATAGAAGGACGAACAGGAGAAGGCGGAGGAACTGCTTCCGTTCCTCGATGACCCGGCATTCGAATTCTACGACAGCCGTTTCGCCGCTGATGAAACCTTCACAGCGAAAGCCATGAACTACTCCGCAGTCAAGAAGGCCTTTTTCGACAAGTTTCAACCGCAGGAAGATCCTGAGGTGGCAATCCGTTCGGCCATCGACCTCAGGCTTCAAGATGATGATGTGATTTCGTTCGTGAAGAGGGCGGAGAGTTTGTACTCTGCAGCCGAGTTGAACGATTCTCCTAAGCTGGGACTTCTCCGCAAGTCCATTCAAGGTCATCCCGCGGTGATTCAGTTCGTCATGTTCCGCAGCCCAACCACGTACAACGAATTGGTTGACGCTATGAAGATGTTCGACCGTAACAGGAAAGAATTCATCCCCGTCGGTTATTCTCCGTTCAAGCATTTATCCCCATCGGCTTCACTTTCAGGTCCCCAAGAAACGGGACCCACCTTCAAGAGTGGTTACGAGGAGAAATTGGAAACTATGACCTCTCAACTGGCTGAACTCTCCCTTGTAGTGAAGAAGCCTCAGAGAGGGTTCAATAAGCCCTCGATTGACGAACGCTCCAGTTCGTACTGTGGAAGGCAGGGTCATGGCGCCAATAAGTGCCCAGATAACCCCCATCGGGGAACTCGATGCACTTATTACGATAAGGTTGGACACGCTGAACGCGCCTGTTGGGCGAAGGCTAAAGCTTCAAGGGAAGATGACTCGAAGAGGAATCAGGGAGGAATAGAAATCAAGAAAGTAAAATTTGCTGATGAACATGCTCTGGTTGTTACAGAAGGAGTTGCATCACTTAAACCGGAAGTTGTGGCTGCCTTAAAGCGAAATGCTCAGGGAGAACCACTGCCGAAGCAGCATCACTCAGCTGCTGCCCCGCGACCGACTCCTTCGATGGTCGGCCCAATGGAATACATGCCCCCGCATCGCCATTCAACCCCAGGACTTTTTATTGGGGTCCCTCCGAAGAACCGCAGGACGAAGAAGAGGAAGACTGCTCCGAAGTCAAACAAAGTGGCTAGGCTCAGCAGCCATGTAGGGAGGTACAGTCTTCTCACCGAACTCGCCGGAGCCCCCTGTGGTATCACGTTCGGCCAGCTGGTTCGAGGTGACGCTGATGACGCGAAGAAGGAAATGCAGAAGTTATTCCGTTCGGGCACAAGGAAGACAAAGATTGCCACCGTAGTCGACACCAGTTTCCCCCGTCGACTTAAGTTGGTTCCGGTCAAGATCTATTCCAAAGAGGCACAGGCTCTTCTAGATTCTGGAGCAATTCCCAACTTGATGTCTAGTCGGCTCTCAGACGAACTCTCTCTGACCCCGTCTCGCACATCCCGACAAATCACTGTCGCCAACGGTGATACCTCACGCTGTATCGGAACTGTCTCGGCAGTTGCTGTCTCGTTTACCGACCTGATAGTCCCAATCGACTTTCTTGTTGTGCTTAATACGCCTTTCGACCTCATCATTGGGTGCCAGACAATGGAAACCTTGGCTGCTCGGCTTGATCTTCGCAGACAAATGGTGAAGCTTTCGTTCCAGGACAGAACGGTACACCTTGGCTTGGAATATGACCGATCCAGTACCCATGTCGTTAAGACAGGTACTGATAGTTGTAGTGCACTGTACACTATGGCGGGACAGACGTCCCTAATGCGCCATAATCGCGCTCGCCGCCACCACGTGTACCACGGGTACACTTGGGCCCCCTGTCTCTCGGCCGGACCATACCGGTGGACACGTGTGATCCCTCTGCCACCTGTCGGGCCTATGGGGGCTCTTACTTGGTCCCCTCGGGGCTACACCCGTTATATTCTAGTTATTCCTATTTACAGTATAATTTAGCTTCGCCATGACGGCGACGGGGACTATATAGTCAACCCGATAATCAAAGTAAAGAGGCACGAAGCCTCGGGTCTTTTACCTTGGTTTCTGGATTCCAGGTTGTAGACTCGACTCGGTACTGGCTCGCTCATACCGACCGAGCCATCTACACCCCTTTAATCCCACCTGCCTTCCCCGCGCGCGTCGACCCACCCGCGCGAGCCCTACGTTAACTACTGTGCTGTCCGCTCCATTAGCTCTGTTTTTCCTTTAATTCTTCCTCTTTATCGCTGACTGTAGTTCTACTTCTCTACCGCGCAAGCCGTGCCCGGATCCCGGTTCCGGTCATCCACCGGGTGGTCTCCCGTTATCCCCTTACGCGTCTGAACGCGCGTCGCTCTGCCTACAGCCGCCACACGTGGCTGTAGTGCACGACAATAGTGAGGACTTCACGTCCGGTGTCGAAGGAGAACTATACGACACCGAGGAGTCCGAGGAATCCTCTTCGCTTTCAGATTCTGAGGAGTACGTCGTCGCCATTCTGTCGAATACGACCGCTGGAAAGAATGTTGAAACGGACCCTTTTGCAGCCTCCGTGGCACCAGCTCTCGAGGAAGATGAAACCGATGATGAAATGCCGCCGCTCACCTCCGATGACGATTTCAGCGAAATTGATGATGAGCTGACCGAAAGCGGTGATTCGAAGACCGAGAATGTAGTAGTAGTCGCAGATATGATGCAAGAAGATTCTATTGGAGAACAAGACACGTCAAGCGCATCTGATTCCACCCAGAATGACATCGGCAAATCAACATTCAACTGTCCGGACTGGACATACAACTCCGGCAACCAAGTACGATGGGTGGGACCTCCACCAGGGTTGCCTGCTACCATTGATTACTTTCCAGACAATGATACTTATTACCCCGTAGGAAATTCTCTAGAACGCATTCAAGAACGGGCCCATCACGCCAACGCCCCCCCTCAGACTCGTGATGGACCTTCTCTTTCTGCGCGTTACCGCCGGGTCTTGTGGTACAACCGTAGGGACGCTAAAACGTAAACGGAAAAGGACAGGCTGTACCTAAAAATGAGGGAGCCTGGGGGACCGCTACACTAGAGCGTCAAGTAGAATAATTCGGAACGGTTAGAAGCACTGGACGAGGGAGGACTACGCAGGACCCGCGCAGTCGTACTGGGGTGTAGGGCAGTACGACCGGTGGCGAGCTGGAAACCTGAAGGTCTTTCTTAACCCACAGAGAAAGGACTAGGGTAGGAAGTAAGGGGATGCGTGCTTGCCTCGGTTTACCACCAGCCCGGTGCCCCCTATCTTATACCCCCTAGTAGCGCGGTGGCACCGGACGGACTACAGTAGCTGTACATACTGTAGCCAGCTTACTGTAGCTTACGGTAACTAAAAATGACAACTGTACTAACCCACCGATCGGTCGCGCACCACGTGTACACCTGCACTAGCTGGAGCCACTAACTACACGTGGAATCCCACGTGGCCACATCTACACGTGCTGGCCACGTATGCTCCGTATCGGTTAACATCTTACTACTGTACTCGGCGGAGCCCCTGGCACCCGCCTAGTACGCCTAGTACAGTATCGCCACTTGGCAATTGTACCACAGGTCTCATGAAGGCGACAGACTCTGCCTTTCTCGAATGCCCTGCGGACCAGTCCACGACAACTTTACCATCCCTGGCTTTACCCGAACCCAGTTCCCCATTCGCACGTGCTTCGCCCTTACAACGAAAAAAGCCCAAGGCCAATCCTTCGGTGGCCGCACTGGTCTCGACTTACGAGATCACTGCTTCTCGCACGGTCAACTCTACGTCGCATTATCGAGGACTACTCACCTCAGCAACGTCACTATCCTCACTCGAGAGTCCGATGAAACAACAGGAAAAGTAATGTACCAAGAGGTCCTTCAGTAATCATCAAAAAAGTAAGCGCCATTCTCTTTACATCTTCCCCTTGCCACCCTTCCCAATTTCCTTTCCTCCACGCGGAGTTGGCTCGGCGCGCGAAGCGCGCACTGAGCCCGCTTTTCGATCCTAAAACTTTGATTAAAGTAAGACGACGACCGCCTTAAAAATTATCTCAAAATTAGATCCGAAATAATTAGAGATCCAATGCCAACGGCGGCGGCGACGGCGCTGAACGGGCACCGCTATCCGGGAAATTAGAATATACTGTAGCCAACGACACTGTAGCCGGGGAGCAAGTTATACTGGAGTGTGCGCACCCCCAAGAAAGCTCGAAGCAGATGTGAAGTCATAGAAAGTACGGTACAGTGCCCACGCGATAACTGCAACACCTGGGGAGACCCCCCTTTGTTGCAGATATCGCGGATTTTCAGTTTTCAAATCTTATGAGAGGGCCTAGCATATATCCCATAAGATTCTAGGATCCAACACCTCAAAATATTTATTTGAAAAACATATATATATTTTGACTATCTTTGGCCGTCGACCATCTGTCGCCTGATCGAGGACTGAATTTTTTGTAACCCCTTCAAAACAGCCCATATGACGCTCTGGAGGTATGTTACAAAGGTTGCAGTAATCAGATCTGAAACGGTCCTATTTTTTAGTAATTTTGAGTGACCCCGGAGATGGTTCCCCACTTGCCGTTTCATTTATCCGGTAGTTGCAGTTATTGGGGCTTGCAGTTATCGCGTGGGCACTGTACCGTACTTTATATTACTTCACATCTGCTTCGAGCTTTCTTGGGGGTGCGCACACTCCAGTATAACTTGCTCCCCAGCTACAATACTGTGGTTGGCTACAGTATATTCTAATTCCCCGGATAGCTGTACACCAATAGAGAAGACAGAACAGCTACAGTGCAACCTCCCAATAAGAGTGCTGTTCGTAAAAGACAAAGATACCCATAGACAGAGGTTTATCACTACGGGAGGCGTTATTATCATAACTCTGTCCTAAAAAATCACTGATTCTTGTTTGACAAAATTTTTCCAGCGCTTGACGTCTCAGTCCCCGTTTCACCTTTTCCATCCCCCGTAGAACCGCCCCAGAGGTGTCATAATTGCTCATAATAACGTGAGCAGAAGCCATAATGCGCAACTGCTCACGAAGGGGAGGCATAAACACTTCCTCATCGCCTCCTTCTGTGTTCCCCGAATCTTCTTCGGGACCGGAGATAAAAGCAACCAGATCTCGGTCTGTGACTGGCTTTGTAGACTCCATTTCTGATTTGTGATGAAGAGGTACTCCACTCGCATTCGCTCGCTGCTATCTTGTACACCTTGATCAATTTCGATGTCAAGTTCCCGACGGTCACGGTGCAACACAATTTCACCGCTCACATCAACATCCTCACCTACGACTTTGGTGTGACACCAGCAGTTTCGAATAGCCCTGCTCTCCATTTCTTCCCATGCTTTTTTATCCAACGCATACCTTGTAGCACATCGACCTTGTATATATTCTTCTCTCCCATATCAATAAAGTCAAGAGCTCTGCCCATTTGCAACCTCCTGTAGCGACACTTCAAAGCAGCGATAACTCCCGCATCGCATGGCTGCATGAATGATGTGATATTCGGAGGAAGAAAAACAATCTTCGTGTCGGACAAGTTCAATGTGTCTACCTTTGTCATCGTTCCATGTGCGGAACAGTTGTCTAGCAAGAGAAGAGCTCTCCTTCCTTTCTGAATCATCCTTGAATTGAATAATTGGAGCCACTCAAAAAAAGGGCCTTTGTCATCCAGGCTTTGGCATTATTTCTGTAGTCGAACCCCAGCTCCTCCCCACTTTTTCCCCGAAAAGCACGCGGCGATCAAGCGTTTCCAATTATCCGCAAGGGAACCAAATCACTTCCACTAGCGTTGCAGCAGGCCACACACGTGATTCTTGCCTTGTCCTTTTTGGATCCACTAAGGTGTGTGGCGGCAACGATCTTGTTGGGTGCTAATCGGTACTGCAGACCGAATTCGTCGGCGTTGAAAATCTCGTCTAAATTGTAGCCGTCAAGCATCGTCCTGATGAGAGGTAGTGCTCTCTCAGCCTCAGTAAACGCAGCCAATACCTGCTCGCCATGATATGATATGCGTCTTAATCCATGCCTTTTCTTAAACTTTTGAAGCCAGCCGTTGGAAAAACGAAGCTCTGGAGCCGTGTCGTCGTTCGTTGTCAATTTCTAAAGACGTTCGGCCTTCTGCATGATGATATTATCCGAAAGGGCGATGTTGCGGCTTGCGCAGTCGCTGATCCATACAGAAAGAGCTTCATGAAATCGTGAAGACAACGGGTTCCGAAGAGATTTCGAATTTGTGGATGCACTCGCCTCTAGCTTGCTGCGCATCTTGACGATGCGCGAGACAGTAGACTGCGGAACAGGTCAGTTGAGTTGAAAGTAACGACCTGCCCATTCTCCAACAGAACGCTGATCACAGCGTTCCACGTTGCGACGGCGAAGATCGTACTCGGCAAGCAGTTCTTTTTGCTGAGCAATAGTAAGGCGATTGCGTTCTGACATGACTTGGGCGGGATGGGGGAGAAGGGAGATTGCCAAGGGGATGAGATGGGCTGCCGCCAGCGACCGCACGCGCTATGCAAAACCTTGGTGGGTATCGTGAATAAAAAGGCGGGAGTTGGTCGCCCAACACATACCTGTTGGTTCCGTGTTCTGTGACCACTACTGTATCCATATTCGAAATGGTCTTACTTCAAATTTTAATAAATATTCAATGTGTTTTTGCGAAATCAACACACTATTTCCGTATCCAGATGACCTGCCTATAGCATCTCAAATCACACTTTTTCTTGCGGGAAAGACGGGTGGTATTCATACTGGGGGGTTTATTACTATCGGGGGAGTACTATTGGGAGGGCTGACTGTATATACGAACGAGACAATACATGTGGCTGTTCCACGCCGGATCGCAAGTCACGCGCCGTTGACAACAGCTTTGCCTCGGCACGTGTACTTGCGTGCACGTGCGCGGAAAGTGTGGAACGGTGCACTGTACTGTATACTCTATTGGAATCCGGCGGCGCCCATTTTTAGATCTGGCGTACAGTAGTGAAGAGCAGAAACGATTGGCCAGAGCTACTGTACACAATAGACGCAGGACGGACGGAGGAATGAAACAAGGCGCCAGTGCTGTATTCCAATCGTATTATCAATGCATTTACCCTGCGTCTTGCCGCCCGGCCCTGTTTTGCTCTCCGGATCACACCTTCATCTCAAAAGAGACGACAGGAGGAAAAAGCTCCGCTTGGCGAGAACTGACTACGTCTCTGTACTTCGCATAACTACTTATTGGTCAACGGTTGTCCTCACCCAACCACCTCATGGTACGTTTCACAGGTCGCTCGTACTGCATGCATGACCCCTATGCTACATGCCTGTACATTTAGCTTGCCCTTGACAGATGACCTCCTTCGTACCCAGAAAAGGGGACAGTCTAACCTATTTCAACACATCAGAGACAGTAGCCCTCTCTAATATGTGAAATAAGTGTACAACACTTACAAACACCCCGTTCCTTCCATTTTCACACTGTACATTATCACAATTTCCACCACACTCGCTCCTTGCCGCCCCCACTAGTCGTCTCATGGGAGCCCCCGCGGGGGACAGGTTGTAGGGGAAGCAAATCCTTCTCGGCAACTATGTCTCGTTTCTTCTCCACTTGTAAATTTTCTTTGCTCTGGGCGTGTTATAAGCCCGCAAACAGGGCCCACGACTTCATGTATTTAGTAAGTGGGGACATTTTTTGCTCAACTCACCCTCAACCGTGCATCTTCGATCCCAGCACCCCATCTTCTCCTCACAGTTCAATCCCTTGCTCTTTCTCTCCGCAACATGTACAAGAGTCGCCAATCATCCACGAAACGGCCCCGTCTACATCGCCGAACGCGGCCTGCTGCCGTAAGCGCCCCGGTGAAAAACGAGAGGCCCAAGTGCAACCAATGCCCCCGTTCCTTTTCAAAGAAGGCCAACCTCTTGGCCCACTTTCGAGTACGTACTCCATTCATCTATCCCGCAATACTGAACTTGCTGGTGTTCTTTCAAAAACATATCTCCGCGTGACATTCCTTTCTTTTTTTTGGTGCTGACCGGTCCCCAACTCTTTGCATTTTGTTCCCAAAGATTCACACGGGGGACAAGAGATACCACTGCACCCTTTGTGGCCTTGACGTAAGTACATACTCTCAATTCACTTCTCCTTTACTCCAACTATGCTTCTTAATCTCCTTGAACTAACCGCGATACGAACTTGATCTACAGTTTGTGTGGAAGAGCAGTCTAAACTACCATGCAAGAAAAAAACATAACGACTACGAAGTTGTGTTCATTTCTGGACCGGTGACGATGCTCGCGGCTATTAAGAAGAAGACTGGGGAGATATGCGACGCCCCTTCGGATTCAGATATTCAAATCCAACCAGCAGTGGATCAAGAGGCATCCGAAAGGAATAGTGAGGAAGAAGCGGAGCAACTTTGCGAGATCCCACACGCGACTGCAAGCTACCCGCTGGGAGGTGATCGGGATATATCAAACTTCGGAGACGAGAGACCTTATGACTCGAGGTCTCTTGACTTACTTGTGGGCCCGTATTGCGATCCCATTCTATGTGAGATGCAGACCTGCGGGCTGGGCACTGGCCTTGAGAAAATTGCAGAACAATGCTTCGAGATGTGCGTCAGTGGGGAATGCGATCTTGCAGGCAATCCCCATGAAGACAGGGAAGACCTGGTTGTGGAAAGCCTCAGTCCGGCTGAAGAAGAAGAGTGGAGCGTCTCTAAAATGGCCCTTGATGCGGAATGTGAAATCACCAGCGAAGAGGCAATGGATGTGCTGCCGGTGGACAGAGACTGGTGGGCCTACTTTACGCATCCAGTCGATCAGAATCTCGACCCACAGTTAAGCGGCATTCGGGAGTCGGCTTCATCAGACTTCTTACG